AAGGAAGGAAGGAAGGAAGGAAGGAAGGAAGGAAGGAAGGAAGGAAGGAAGGAAGGAAGGAAGGAAGGAAGGAAGGAAGGAAGGAAAACTATTTTCCAAGGCACCTGAAGGCCAGACAAGGAACAATGGATGGAAACTGATCAAGGAGAGATTCAACCTGGAAATAAGGAGGAATTTTCTGACAGGGAGAACAATCAACCCATGGAACAGAAGTTGCCCCCAGAGGTTGTGGGAACTTCATCACTTGAGACTTTCAAGAAGAGATTGGACTCCCATCTTTCAGAAATGGCATAGGGGTCTCCTGCTTGGGCAGGGGGTTGGACTAGATGACCTACAAGAGCCCCTTCCAACTCTGATTATCTGTATTGTCTATACTGTCCTACCCGTTCTTTGCCAGTAATTTCAAGCTGAATTTCCTTCTCTCTCAGCTTCTTCCAAGTCACGTAGTACGTCCTTAGTGGAGTTCCTTCTGCTTTGATAGTTTTTTCCCATCGCTCCTGTCAAAAAATTGGCCAGACGCGTAAGAAAGGTATCAACCAAGCATTTCCTATAACAACATTCATAAAACCACCCGCATTTTCCACTTTGGGTGCAAGGGGGGTAGGAGGAGTCTCTCCAGATTTTCTTATTCCAGTTCTGAAGATTGAAGTCAAACTGCAAAAAAACAACAACAACAAAAAACAAGAGTTGTGTGTTCAAAACAGTTTTTCGGAGTGGGAAAAAAAAATCCACTCGTGGAGCTTTTTTCAGAGCAAAACCACAATCTAATAACACAAATTTGATCTAACGCAGAGGGGCAGCGCCGAGGAGCTATTTGAAGGCTTTTACAGCCAGTCCTCTGTCACTAAGTGAGACATTCGTTAAGTGAATCCCTGCAGTTGTTGAGGTTAGTGAAACGGTCATTCAGCGGATCAGGCTTCCCCGATGGCCGTTCCCCAAGAACCGTCACAAATATGAATCAATTGCCAAGCATCCCAATTTTGGTCACGAGGATGTGGCAACTGTCATTAAGTGTGAAAAACAGTTCTAAGTCACTTTTTTTTCAATGAATGACAGTGAATGATGTGTCTCAGAGTCGGCTACACCCAGGCAGTGCTGGCATGTTAACTCCCAATAAATCCTTTTTAAGTTTTGGAAGTTTGGCTCGAGATTCATGATTTAATTGGGGTAACTGCTGGAATCCTGACAATGTGGTTTGTTAAACCATGATTAAACAAGCTAGGATGGAGCACTCTGTGTTGGCTTCCACAAGAAATTCTCCAGGGATGAGAGAATTTTATTCTTTGGATGTCTGGTTGTAATAAGGAGTCGTATGATAAACTGAACAAATATTCTTATGACTAACAGCAGTTTTTTTCCAGTGGTAGAAAAGTATGTTTTCTCTCTGTGTGTTTGTTTACTGCACTGTTTTTAATTTCCTTCCTGTCTTGTGCTAGCATTTTCTCTCACTTTAGCATTCATGCTAAAAGGCTTGTAAAAACCATGGCTAGAGGGGGTGAGCATCTGTATTAGGTCCTGTTACACTCATTGCAACCCCAAAACCTCACATTTCTAAGCAAAGAGAAGAGGAAAAAAATAATAATTAAAGAACAGAAAGTTCTCATTCCATACTGCCGACCTCTTAAAAGTGCTTCCTTTAAGGCATAATCTCTGATCTGAAGTGGGCCTCAATTCTCCACCTGAAAAATGGGAGCCTTCCGTCCTTCCGAGGTGGGTAAAATGAGGACCCAGATTGTTGGGGGCAAGAGGCTGATTCTGTCAACTGCTTAGAGAGGGCTGGAAAGCACTGTGAAGCGGTATATAAGTCTTAAGTATTATTCCTCCTTCCTTCCTTCCTTTCTTCCTTCCTTCCCAGTGGTTAGAATGCACTACTCCAGGCTAACTCTTCCCACTGCCAGCAGTTCGATCCTGACCGACTGGCTCAAGGTTGACTCAGCCTTCCATCCTTCCGAGGTCGGTAAAATGAGGACCCAGATTGTTGGGGGCAAAAGGCTGACTCTGTAAACCGCTTAGAGAGGGCTGGAAAGCACTGTGAAGTGGTATATAAGTCTAAGTACTATTGCTTCCTCCCTCCCTCCTTCCTTCCCAGTGGTTAGAATGCAGTATTGCAAGCTAATTCTGCCCACTGCCAAGAGTTCGATCCAGACCGACTGGCTCAAGGTTGACTCAGCCTTCCATCCTTCTAAAGTAGGTAAAAGGAGGACCCAGATTGTTGGGGAGGGGCAAGAGGCTGACTCTGTCAACTGCTTAGAGGGGGCTGTCAAGCACTGTGCAGTGGTATATAAGTCTTAAGTGCTATTTCTATTTATTTGTTAAAGAAATCAAGAATGAAACGGCTTTGGGTATTCCTTTTTCGAGGCGTGAAATAAGAACAGGTGTTTCTCCTGAGCGTGAAACTCTTCCCAGCTGGACAAAAGGGAGAAAAGAGGTGACTCACCACTGCCTCTCGATCGGAGACGCCGAAGGAAGCTCTCTGGCGCTTGGCCGTGATGAAGGCGGAGTTCTCCTGCAGTTTTTCCAAGAGCTGGCGGATGGTTTTGCAATAGTTGGCGATTTTGCAATCCTTCAGAAAGGACTTCAGCTGGAGAGGAGGAGGAGGAGGAGGAGGACCGGAAAGAAACAAGACAGCAAAAAAATTTTTTTCCATGAATGGCTCTCGTTGTGTTTTTTTAAAAAAGTCTGACTTGCATACAGTTTTCTATCCCCCGTGTTTAGATCTAGCTGGCAAACATGCAACAAAAAAACAAAACACAACCCAAGATGGGTGAGAGGTCATCCTCCTCCAATCCTTGGCTCTGATTTAAAGATGGAATATATATACATATATACACAAAAACATTCTTAAGGCCTTGCCAAGTATGGGGAAAAAAATCAACAGGAGGGAGAAGGAAAACAGCCTCTAGAGTCACAAGCTGTTGATGGGAGTTTTGGCAAAGCCACTGGCCACAGTGGAGGCGGGAGGCCTGGCTGATCGAGACAGATCTTCCTGCGGCCCTTACTGACTTCTGGCTTTGAGGCTAGCAATAGCTGTTCCTGACCATCAAAGACCCCCGTTTTATATCTTAGCCTAACCCCCCAAAGGAACTGATGGGCTGAGGCAGGCCAAATTGCTTGGTTGGAAATCCAGCTGGGTTATTTTAATCTGGTTAAACGCTTTAATCTGTCCAAGAAAAAAAAGAGAGAGAGAATATATGGGCAGGCAGGAAAGGAGGAAGGACAAAGGAAGGAAGGGAGAAAGAAGGAGAGAAGAAAAGAGGAAGGAGGGAAGGGGAGAGAAAAGGAAGGAGAAAGGGAGAGAGAAGAGAGAAAAGGAAGGAAGGAGAAAGGAGGAGAGAAGAAAAGAGATAGGAAGGAGGGAAGAAGAGAAAGGGAAGGAAGGAATACAATAGTAATAGTGCAACAGAGTAATTTTAACTGGATTTCCCTTTTGGTTTGCTTATTTGTAATTCTGTTAATTATATCAACACGTTTACGATTATCAACCCTCTTTATATTTAATTCAAACATAGCAATAATCTTTCTTCACCTAATTTCTACCTCTTCTCTCTAACCACTCCTAAAATCTGTTCCATGTTAAGTAACATTCTGAATCTTCTTTGTCCTTTATTTTAAACGTCAATCTATCCATCTCTGCACAGTCTAGTATCTTCTGAATTACGTCCTCATTGGATGGGGTGTTCTCATTTTTCCAATATTGCGCAAAGACAACCCTTGTCAATTACATGCCAAACTAAGTATAATCCCCCCTCTCTAAAAGGCCTGGGAGAAGAACCCCCCAATTCACACAATCAGCTTCCTTCCGTCCAAAATAAAACGGAGCCAGCAAAATTAGCGAAAATGTTTAAAGATAAATCAATTAAATGTTGGAAATGTCATCAAATACCAGGAACATATGTGGTGGACTTGCACAGAGGCTAAAAGGTATGGGAGTAAAATACACACATGGTTGGAGAAAATGATCAAACAACACATAGATTTGAAGCCTCCCTCTGGGTGCCCCCCCCCCCTGCAAATCTTGGGAAGGGCTGGATCCTGGATCTAAGCCCCCTGCTGACCTCTTCTTCAGGGTGGTCCATCCCTAGCCAGAGGGGGGGGGGGGGGAAGAGCCCACCCCGAGGCTGAGAAGACAGGCAGGGCTGAGCTGAGGGAGGCAGGTGTGAGGGGTATGCCCAGAGACCGCCTGACTGAAAAGAAAGCCACATTTTCCCGACAGGCCTTTGGAAGCACCGCCTTTGCAAGTCTAACAGGATGGAAATCAGAGAGCCTTAAAATGCTTTAGCAGGCTTAAAGGAAAGAAGGAAACATGCTTTCCTTAACACCCCCCCCCCCGTGCTTTCAATTATTTAGCTAAACAAAAGCCCCTATTGTGCAGAAAGGAAACTGATGGCATACCCTACTAGGGTAATGAGACGTCTGCAAGCAAATTACCATGGTTTGAGAGCACCAAAGACTCCTCAGTGACAGAGATAACAGATGAACCAAGTTGGAAGGGACCTTGTAGCTCATCTAATCCAACCCCCTCCCCAAGCAGAAGACCCTACCCCATTTCTGATAAATGGCAGTCCAATCTCTTCTCGAAGGCCTTCATCACTGGAGGCTTTCAAGAAGAGACTGGACTGCCATTTGTCAGGAATGGTGGGGGGTCTCCTGTTTGGGTGGGGGGGGTTGGACTAGATGACCTACAAGGTCTCTTCCAACTCTGATTATCTGTATCTGTATTTACCTGAAGGATGGCAGGCAAAGCCAGTTCTGGGAAACCAATCGTGTAGGCCTGGCTGTGGAGATATTCTAAAGTCAGATCATACAGCTGTTCGAGGAGGCCGTCCTGGGAAGAAGAAGAAGGAAAAAAAATAAAATAAACCACTCAAAATTTGAAAAGGGATCTCGAAGGCCAACTTCCCACCTCAGGACGGGTGCAACCAATAAGCATTCATAACCCAAAATAGAGTTAAATCGATGTTTTTCCCCCCCAACTTGGCTACTTTAAGCAGCTGCCTGGGGAATTCCCGGGCATTGAAGTCCACACATTCCCTCTCCCTTGTTCTACCTCTCCCCTGCTCTGCCCAGCTGGACTGTAGCCTTCCCCAGTTTCTTCCACAGCCAACCGAGCCACACTCCCACTCCCTGTCAGCTGCTCGGCCTCCCCCTCCGAATCAGATTCCGACAGGGGCATGACAGTTACCAAGTTTGGATGGATCTCCCTTAAAATATAAAAAAAGCTGCCCACTTCGTCTTCCGTCATCTTACCCGGAAAGCTTTCTCCTGCAGGTTGGCGTTGGACAGCTTCAAGATGACGGCAAAGTTTATTGGCTTGGCGCTCATTCGCCCCGGTTTCTTGTTGAAATCTACCTGTTGGAAAATCTGTGGAGGAACAAAAAGCAAACAGAACGGAAAGGTCAGCCGGGCATCCAGGGCAAAGAAGGTGTGGGAAGATACAGCTAGCAAATTTTGGATTTTGTCAAGTCCAGGCTGGCTGTTTTATATGGCCACTTTGATTTTATCCAGCCTGCAGAAGTGAACTTGATGTAGGTTGGGTTTTTTTTTTTAAATAGTTCTCTCTTGGATTGTCCCAAAGGTGCTTTTTTCCCCAAGAAGCCACTGGTCTTTCTTGTTTTTCTTTTGAAGACGTTTCGCTTCTCATCCAAGAAGCTTCTTCAGCTCTGATTCAATGGTGAGGAATGGAAGGATTTATCTTCCTTGCAGACAGCTGGTCATTTGCATCCTTTTAAGAGGGTCATTGAGGCCACTTGGAGGCTTATCTGTGTCCTCGGGGTCAGCTGAACGGTGCAAATGGCTCCTGTAGCCTGCAATTTTTCCCCTCTGGAAATCCAGCCCTACTCCCCACACCATTCCAAGGGCGTCCATCCCAAATTGTCTTCAAAAGAAAAACAAAGGAAGTCCAGTTGCCTCCTGAAAAAGCACCTTTGGGATAACCATGACCTGGATGACAGTCTCTACGGTTTCTCTTGGATTGCATTCACTCCTGCCATACAACCTGTCAGAGTATATTCATGAACTGGAATAGAGCATGGTAACAAGGGTTGAACTCTGAGTCTATTGAAAAGGAAACTGCTTCTCTCCTCTGCTGTGTATAATGGTTGCCTGCTGAACTAAAGTGAAACCGATGTCTGTTTTCTGAGCTAATTTGCTACTGAAGTTACTTGCTTCTATCTGAGTTTGCTCCATGTTGGAGAAATCTACAACTGGTTTGTGAAATCTACTTATTATGTTTATAAAGACATTAAATGAAGCATCAGCCAACTGTGTTTATTTTTCTGGTGCTGAATTAACGCTGCAAAACTCTACGTCTAGTTTAACGAAAAGAAGGACTAGGGGCGACATGATAGCAATGTACCAATATTTGAGGGGCTCCCCCGAAGAAGAGGGAGTCAAGCTATTCTCCAAAGCACCTGATGATAAAACAAGAAGCAACGGGTGGAAACTAATCAAGGAGAGAAGCAACCTAGAACTAAGGAGAAATTTCCTGACAGTTAGAACAATTAACCAGTGGAACAACTGGCCCCCAGAAGTTGTGGATGCTCCAACACTGGGAGTTTTAAGAAGAGATTGGACAACTGCTGGTCAGAAGTGGTGTTAGGGTTTCCTGCCTGGGCAGGGGGTTGGACTAGAAGACCTCCAAGGTCCCTTCCAACTCTGTTAGTCTATATTCTATTGCTATGCTAAATTTCCTTCCTCCCTCCTTCCCTATTAATGCTGCTCCATGCCCCCCCCGCCCCAAATTTATTCTCCTCCCAATCTCAGCTCTTCCCCCCCCCCCCACATCAATATAAGGCTGTGGACCCATCGATCGAGATATTAAAAAATAAAAGGCGAACGATCGTTATATCCCTCCCTGTTTGGGCAAGTCCTTTTTTTCCCTGCACCTTCTCCCCTCTCTCTCTCTCTCTTCACACAGCTCGGTCTTTGCCAGAGAGCAGGGCGGCGATGCCGCGGGGAAGCAGGGAGGGAGGGAGGGAGGGGGCCGCCCCCGCTTCTCTGTGCCAAGAGAAGCACAAACTGTCAAGGCACATCACCGATTTCCTGCTCATTTCCAGTGACAGCAGCTTGGGGAATATTCGGCAGTCCTCCGAGGGACCTCACAAGACGCCGGAGCTGTCAGAGTGCCGGTGACAAAGCGAGGAGGGGAGGAAGCCAAGCCAAGGGGGTTGGGGAGGGGGAGGATATCAGAAGAAGGGAGGATTGCATTAGGTTGCTCCGGATGAGAAGAACCGCAATCCCAGCCAAAGGTTTTTGCAGATTAGGATAGAATAGAATTCTTTATTGGCCAAGTGTGATTGGACACACAAGGAATTTGTCTTGGTGCAAATGCTCTCGGTGTACATAGGATAGGATAGGATAGGATAGGATAGGATAGGATAGGATAGGATAGGATAGGATAGGA